CGAATCGCCATTTCGATTAAGCGAACGTCCCTTGTGAGAATTCTGGGAATTCATTCGGGACCGAATGGTGGTAATGAGGGACTTGAATTTGATATACAAAGGGATGAAGATCATTGTCCAACCGAAATCACACCAAAGTCCCAAGTCTAGACCAAAATTATTTCAAAGTTATGAGATAAACTGCGAAGTACTTCATTGCTTAGGCTCCAAATGTTTTTCTATGACCTTTTTAATGCAGTCTGGTTGACTGATTTGAAACGGAAACTGCTCTCAGTCCTGAGAAAAAATAAACTTTGAAGGAAAACGGTTCTATCAGACTATAAAACTTTTTGAAATTTTGATATTTTCTACCAAGTTAACGATTTTTGTACAAGTACACTACAAAATTTTGCTACTATAGTTTCTACTAAATTTTGCTGCTATAGTTTCGCTACTAACTTGCTCCCATACAACTTCTAATGACTTCTAATTCCTTCCGAATCTGTATTTCGTATGTCTCAAAGTTATTTGTATCCAAAGTTATAAGGGTTTTTTTGCAACTGATATCCCTGCCTATTTTTCTGGATGGTTGCCAAATTCTTCTCCACAGCGCTCGCGCCTCTAATTGTCTCCTGCGATACAGGCGGCAGTTTGTTTCCTCCTGCACCACCCAATGCATTGGTATGGCCCCTTGGTATCGGTATGCCACATTACTACTTGACCTCGATTATTTCATACAGCAAAACCTTCGCTGTCTTTGAGCTCGATTAGTTGAAAATGGATACATAGTGCTTACATTGTTTTTATATTCACCTCCAGTTACGACACCATTCTCTACCCAGTACTCCCAAGCTTTGTCAGGGTAGCCTCCACGACATCTGCAAGAAGAATTGGCGGTACAAAAGGTAAAATGTGGTACAAGCGCCTACCCATATCCACACGATTCGCAACAGGCGAGTACATCGTCCGCAGATAGTGTCGGAGTTATGTTTCCCCTAGAGGCAATGCAAATCCTATCGGACATCGCTTCAACTGCGCCAAAAGCCCAACATGATCCTGGGAGGAAAATGCTGGAAAATTGTACGCACTGCCTTATTCTTACCGCAGCTGCTTTGGTCCCGGATGAAGCCAATAGATTCGCATGCCGGCCACCATGCTCGAGCATCGAATTCATCAGGAAGGCTTATATTTAGAAACCTGCAAATTGGGATACACTTTAACATTTGATATAAGTTAGAACCATTTTTGGACTGATAATACTCACCGTGTAGAACTTAGTGACTTTAACGTTCTGGCAGAAAACCACACTTCCTCAACTCCTAGCATATAATTCCTAGTCTCTTCATTGTCAGAAGAAAATCGCTCGTTGAATTCAGCCTGTGTATACAGCGAATGTATATATTTTGAAGCGACCTTCGTCCAGTTGCAGGCGGAAGCGTCTTATTTCAAGCTATGCTTCAATCCAAAAGGAAATTGGAAGGTTCCCATCTCGCTGAATTATGTATCAAAAGCAGTCACAATACATATGTAGTAAGGGCTCTGGACTGACCCATAATCATGAAGCCGCGAACCATCATTTTTTTAAAGAATGTTAGACTGCAGAACTGCACAATACATAGGTTGCAATGGATAACCTTTTATGCACTTTCAAAGTCGATATAAAGGTGAAAAATTACGCCATTTGACGTATTAGATACTATAGTATTATTAAGATTACTAACTATTATATTTCAAGCCGATCTTCAGCTTTTCAACACATTACACATGCGTTTTTGTGTGTCTATACCTATATCTAATCATCGAAGCAGTTCTGATTTACTTAAAAGTAAGAAGCTAAACTACATAGCACGAGTAAAACTGCTCCGAGGCAATAAATAATCAAGAAGAATTCATTTTTATGCTTTTCGTTATGATTTGGAATTATCTCAATGCTGTTCAAGACGCCTTTCAAAAATTGAAATAAAAAACCATCCGGAATCATCTTCACTCCTGATCGAATTGAGGCGAATTGAATTCGAGCAAAAACTAGATTGGATTTAGTACAAACTACGAAATGTTAATAAATCTCTGTGATTTGCATGATAACTTGTACCATGAGGGCAAATTTGCTCTAAGGTAATGAAGTTATGGAAGCAGTTTCCTGATTTTGTAAATATACATCCAGTGGTGGTGAGAGAGTAACATCCATTTCTCCCCTTATATAACTCTGAATTGAACTTACTTTCCATAACTGTTGCTTGCTGTTGACATAATCGACCAAATCGTCGTCGTCAAGTGGTCTTGCGACTTCATTTAGTTCATCTGCAGCAACAATTTCTTGTGGGAAGTCGTAAGTGCAAAAGTGACCGGAACTTACTCAAAATGGCTTTATGGCCCACTTTACTTGAACATTCGCAAATGTAGAACAGTGACAGCACTAGTGCGAATTTGTCCTGAAAGAATGACTAATAATGAGAATCGTAATGTTTTAAACGTTTTTATTCTCAAAATCTGTTGAACATTTTCAAAAACCTTCTTCCACATTATGCGTGACCCCTTCAACATCAAATGGAAGTATTTCAGCTGTATGTTTGGAATCGTGATTTTTTCCGAACAAATTGATTATAGACAGCTGAAATCTTGCAAATGCTCATTTATGAGCGCATCTTTCGATTGAAAATGTAGCGTAGTCAAGATCTTCTTTGGGCAACACTCTGAAAAAGAGAATGTCCTGTGCCAGAATGAGCTCAATGCAGCTTGAAAATGTTGTCATCTTTCTACTTTCCAATTTGGCAAGCATAAATTGTTTATTTTACTTCTCTTATAGTCAGATAAACGATAGTATGAACGATTCGTAATATTAGGTTAGCAGATTAATGTGCCTTGCGTTCACCAGTTTTCTCGCTTATAAATTGGCAAATTATTAGTTTTTGGAAGTTTAACGACTAGTATTCTCATCCAAACAAATTTTTTCGATTATAATTTACTGGCACAAAGCGGTGCGAGATCTGCATCGGCAAAATTGTAAAACGCAATAGTATGACAGTGCAGTGCATTATACTAGTACAAATGAAATGTCTCAAAATCTCAAAAGCAGTGCGATGAGCAACCCAAATAATATTTATTAGACTTCTGAACATTGGCAAAGATGGTCTAAAACATCAATATTTTGAATATTATGCACGGTTTACTCCTGAAGTAAATTTCACAGACAAATTTCTGACTTTTTGTGTTATCGGAACAAAAGCTGTCGTTTTACCCTATTTTGCATATTGGAGTAAGGAATGCAATCAAAACTCCTCAATAAGCCTTACTCCTCATACTCTATCAGACTTACACAGCACTTCCAGTTGTCAAAAATGATGGGCTGTAGTTTATTAAATGAAGGTTAGTCGGAGAAAAAATTTTTTGATATGAGTTGCAACACCGTTAACAAGGAATTTTTTCAAGCCAAAACGATGAAATCACTAACCATATTGCCTCGGCCAAAAGAACGCTACTGCAGATTTGTATGGTTA